TCAAAGAAAAATTAAAATAATAACATAAAATTATTATCACCCACTAAATTTGGAGCTGTATCCGCAATGATAAAAAGATAACAAGAGATAATAGATTCTCTCTCCTCTCACGGTATCGAAAAGTATAACCCAGAAGCAGAAAGGATAATATCATTGACAGCAAATTGTTGGTGAGTTTCTAAAGAAGGCAGCAACACAGGAAAAGTCGATATGGCATACAGTAACTGATATATCAAAGAGAAAGAGAAAGTGACTATTTTTCTTTTTTCTCTTCCTCTTAGAGAGAGATGTCAGGTGGTGGCTGTAGTATAGTTTGGTTCAGGAGAGATCTAAGGGTAGAGGATAACCCGGCACTTGCAGCTGGTGTAAGAGCAGGTGCTGTTGCTGCTGTGTTTGTATGGGCACCTGAGGAGGAAGGCCATTATTATCCTGGTAGGGTCTCAAGGTGGTGGCTTAAACAAAGTTTGGCTCATCTTGACTCTTCTTTAAGGAGTCTTGGTACTTCTCTTGTTACTAAGAGATCAACCGATAGTGTTTCTACTCTTCTTGAGGTTATCAAATCTACTAGGGCTACTCAGCTCTTCTTCAACCACTTATATGGTTGGTCTCTATCTATCTTTTCGTTAGACTTTGTTTTAAATTATTACTTTTGTTCCATGGGGTTTGAGGATCATGTGGTTTGATTGACTCTTCATAATATAATATTCTGTTATCCAATCCTTTTTGGGTTTCGATGTTTTCGTTCCTTTTTTGTTCACTTTCCCTTTGTAGAATTTTCTGGTATTATTGGGTTTTGGATTATTGTGTTGTGATCGATAAATAATTCCATGATTATTGCTTGAAGTTCGTGAGGATTGGAATAGTCTCTTGCGATGGATTTATTGAAGTTGCGATTATACATTTGTTTTCATTGACTAATTGATTATTGAGTAATTGCTTCTGTGGTGATATAATTTGTCATGAATGGTATGGGGCATCCCATAACCATGTGATTCCACTACACCCATTTTCTTTTCAGCAGTTTGTATATGGTTCCCTTTGTATGTTTAGATTGGTCAGTTTCAATTTGAACTCGCTTCAAATTAATTTAGTTGGAAGGGCCTTTGCTAATCTAGTTTTGTTGATTCGAGTCTTTCTTGAGCTTGTGACACGTGCATCCACTGCATGAAGTTGCAATCTACTAGCCTTTCATCCCAACATACGATGGCAATTCATCATTTCCTTATCTATTTTTCATTCCAACAGATGTTGGAAATTCCCAATGCATCAAGTGGCAATTCACTGTCTTTCATTTCAACATTTGTTGATAATTCATCTTTTACTCTCAATTATTGTTTTTCAGATCCCCTATCGCTGGTTAGGGATCATCGGGCGAAGGAGGTTTTGACTGCTCAAGGTATTGCTGTAAGATCTTTTAATGCAGATTTACTTTATGAACCATGGGATGTTAATGATGCCCAAGGCCGTCCCTTCACAACCTTTGCTACTTTCTGGGATAGATGCCTCAGCATGCCTTTTGATCCAGAGGCTCCACTTCTCCCGCCTAAGAGGATTATTTCGGGTATGTCTTCCTTCAAACTTTTCTTTTTGATGGTGCCCCATATTTATGTTTGTGATTTGAGAGAATGCCTTGTCGAGCATCGGAAAAATTAATAAAACAAGAAAATGCAAGCACTCGTTCTGTCTTATTTAATCATACAGTCCTCAAGAGAAACAATATCTATGTATTATCTAACTACCTGAGAGCTCTAAAACTGGATTTCTAGCTGCTCACAAGGTAGGCTTTTCTACACAGCACTTGCCACCACGCTTCCCTTCTGCAATCATAATGAGAATTTGATATCACAACATTAACAGCAGTCCTATTCAACATCTTCAACTCTATGTTCTATTTTCTATCTTCTGTGCATATATTATCCGCAGCATGCTTCTTCTACAGGATTATTCTATATTTTCTTATGTTCTGGCAGGTAATTTTTGTCCTCTCCAATCTGCTTTCACCTATTTATTGCTTTCTTTCAGGTGATGCATCTAGATGCCCTTCAGAGATGCTGGTATTTGAAGATGAATCAGAGAAAGGAACCAATGCACTTCTTGCCAGAGCATGGTCACCTGGATGGAGCAATGCTGATAGGGCTCTGACCACTTTCATTAATGGGCCATTAATTGAGTACTCTAAGAATCGTAGGAAGGCTGATAGCGCTACGACCTCATTTCTCTCTCCGCACTTGCATTTTGGGGAGGTGAGTGTGAGAAAAGTCTTCCATCTTGTTCGCATAAAGCAGGTTCTGTGGGCAAATGAAGGGAACAAGGCTGGCGAAGAGAGTGTAAACTTGTTTCTCAAGTCAATTGGTCTTAGGGAATATTCAAGATACTTGAGTTTCAACCATCCTTACAGTCATGAAAGGCCTCTTCTTGGGCACCTTAAGTTCTTCCCTTGGGTCGTGGATGAAGGCTATTTTAAGGCATGGAGACAAGGTAGAACAGGTTATCCATTAGTTGACGCTGGAATGAGAGAATTGTGGGCTGCTGGTTGGCTGCATGATCGTATACGTGTGGTAGTTGCTAGTTTCTTTGTGAAGGTTCTACAACTTCCATGGAGATGGGGAATGAAGTATTTTTGGGATACCCTATTGGATGCAGATTTAGAGAGCGATGCTCTCGGGTGGCAATACATAACCGGCACTCTCCCAGATGGCCGGGAGTTTGATCGCATAGATAATCCACAGGTGCGGATAAGACATTGTAATTTTTATAAGCTGCCCTTCTGTATTGCATAACTAATTTATGCAACTATGGTATTACAGTTTAATTTATGCATATATCCTACTCATCTTTTCTTAATTTGGACTTGTTTGAAAAATGTCTTAGTTACTCATTGATTGTTCACAGTTTGAGGGTTACAAATTTGACCCAAATGGAGAATACGTGCGCCGGTGGCTTCCTGAACTTGCTAGGCTACCAACTGAATGGATACACCACCCATGGAATGCACCTGAATCTGTACTTCAAGCTGCTGGTATTGAGCTAGGATCAAATTATCCTCTCCCTATTGTAGGGATAGATGCAGCGAAGGTCAGGTTGGAAGAAGCGCTTTCAGAAATGTGGCAGCAAGAAGCTGCTTCAAGAGCTGCAATTGAGAATGGAACTGAGGAAGGGCTTGGAGACTCTTCTGAATCAGCTCCAATTGCCTTCCCTCAAGACATAAATATGGAGGAAAACCATGAGCCTGTGAGAAACAATCCTCCTGCTACAAATCGCCGCTACGAGGATCAGATGGTCCCAAGCATGACGTCTTCTTTTCTGAGAATTGAAGATGAAGAAGCTTCTTCAGATGTTCGCAATTTTACAGGAGATGGCAGAGCAGAGGTACCAAGAGATGTAAATGTCAGTCCACAACCAAGAAGAGACACTTTGAACCAGGGGTTTGTGCAAAGTGTTCATAATGACAACAGTTTGCCACCATTTAACGCTTTGAGAGGTCTGGCAAATGTTGAAGACTCAACAGCAGAATCTTCGAGCAGTAGTAGGAGGGAGAGGGATGGAGGTATAGTTCCAGTTTGGTCCCCTCCAACTTCTAGTTACTCAGAGCAGTTTGTTGGTGATGAAAATGGAATTGGGGCAACTTCTTCTTACTTGCCAAGGCATCCACAATCTCACCAGATACTCAACTGGAGGCGGCTACCCCAAACCGGGTAAGCACTTCATTAAGTATTTGGAAAGAACAAAAAAAGTCAAGGTTCTTTTAATCTTATCACAGCTGATAGTTTACCATTACCCAAGTACTGTGACTGCTTCTTTTGCCAATTAATATTCATGGTATGAAGAAATTAACCAGAGCATGTCAATCACACTAATTTACACCTTCTCTCATAGAGGATTTACTGACAAATCTGTAGATAGTAAATCTATCGAGGATTAACAAGTGAATATAGCGATGACTGGATCTCATGGTGATCTGCTGACATAAGTTGTTTTGATTGTTCTCGACTCTGAACCTTACCCTTGTTAACAGGTAAAACATATATTCATGGTGAGAGCAGGGAGGTGGAGACCCAATGATGCTCAATTTCATACGAGTCAATGTGTTGATAAACCAGAGTCCCTTGTATATCTTTATCCACGTATATTCTCACCATTCTAATATTTTTAGTAGTTGGACATCCAATCTGTATGATACACCAAAATGATTCAGGCATCCCATCTGCTATCCCCTTTTTCTGTACTTGGCTGTTCCATGTATGTAGATATGCTGTATAGTATTTATAAGCGAAGGATGAGAGTGCTGGTAGGGGCATGTAGTTCTCTAATAAACCCAGGTTTGTGCTTTCTTACTTGACTAGGAAGATGATTTTCTGTAATTCAAGCTTGTTATCTTCACTTCCCATTTCCTTTGAAAGATGCTCATTCCTGGGCTCCAATTGTTTTCTGTTGTGAAATGCTGACCAGCTTAGCCTTTTGTGTTGAAATCGTTGCTAGGGTCAAAATATAGCTAGAGTGAGATGGTATCCTCTTCTGCCTATTAGCTGGGGGGGAAGGAGAATGGGAGAAACTAGTTTTATATTATCTGATAGAGTGAAGAAGTTGAACTAGGAAATTTAAGGGGTTACTGATCCTGGATTTTTACAGGTCCATGATTCTTTAGTCGCAATAGCAATTCTTTTACATGTTAGTATCTTGATATATATATCTGCCTTTCTGTTCAACGTCATCAAGCATGCATTTCTGAGGAAACCAACCTGACAAATCATTCAAATTCATTATTCCTTCATCTTTCATCTGGCGTGAAGACCTACAGTTCACTGGGAACAATTACAATCCATCATTTCCCGAATTCTTGCCTTCAGAATAGTTTGACGTTTTCAGGCATGACCAAGTGATTGGCTAGATAATAATGTTACAACAGTCTTGCATGAAACCATTCGGAATATCTGTCTATGGATCAGCATGCAAGTTAAGATTATTGTATGTGGATTTATTTGTATCCTCTGGTTTAGGAGGCTCGGGTACCCGAAGTACAGAGTACACTACGGCTGCAGCCATTGCTCCGAGAATTGGGGATACAATATAGACCCAGAGATTCTTGTAAACACCAGAGACAAGAGCAGGGCCTAAACTTCTTGCAGGGTTCATCGAAGCTCCAGTGATTGGCCTGGAGAATTTATTAAAATGAATGCATCAGATCACTTGAAAACGAACATAATTGAGTTGCAGAAGTGGCTAGACCAGCAAGGGAGTTTGTTTACCCAGCAATCATGGCGTTGAACATTACCGCACCGCCTATTGCAACTCCAGAAAGGTCTTTGCACTGTTGGAACGTAAAACAAAGTGAAAGGGTGAGAAGAAAAATAAACACACAAAAAAAGAGAGGAATATATCACATCTATTTTTTAGCCCCATTTTTTCTTCATTAATATAAAGGATTCTTGAAGAAAGCAACTAGTGTAACTCAGACCATACAGCTCGAGGATCGGTAGCGACACCGCAAATGGTGAACATCAAGATAAATGTAATTATAAATTCCCACACAATTGCTTCTAGATCACTGGTTGGATCTGAGTACTGATTCACTATGGGTTGAATATTTCCTTGCTCATGGAACAGCACCCTAAGAGTTAGACTTGCAAGTGTTGATCCGAGGACCTGAGCCAAAATGTACATCGGCACCTACATAGACATAACACGAGGTTCAGATAAGTTCTACACAAAATATTATTAAGAGGGCGTTTGTTTTCCCTACACAAAATATTTTACTGATTTTCTTGTAATTTTTTTTTGTAATTATCTTATTGGAAAAATGGTAAACATAAAATATATTAAAATTCATTTATTAAAAACAAATTTCAATTTGTGAAGTTTATATAATATTTTTAAATTATTCCACTCACAATATCATTCAATATTATAAACCACCCCCATCACCCACGATAATCTCTCCACTACCACAATCACAGCCACTCTATCATATACCATAACATTTTATTATCATTCTATTGTCATCGTACTTTTCATTGTATCTTATCAAATGTCATATTGAAAAAAAAAACATTTTACTTGTAAATTATTTTCTTTCCATGAAATATTTCACGCAAAACTACTGATTTAATCATAATCTCTCACTTCTTTCCAAGAAAATTTGCGGACAACAGCCAAGGCAATGCTAACTGCAGGATTAAAATGTGCACCAGAGACATGACGAAGAGCATAAATAGCTGCCATCAGAACCGCGCCCCACACAATCGCTATTCCTAACATATTTAGTCTTTGAATTTTGTCAGTGAGAGCAGCTCCACAGCCCACAAATACAAGAATGTACGTCCCCATCAACTCTGCAACAAGCTGCTTTTTAAAAAAAAAACAGGTAATAAATACCTTTGTTAGTAGAAGGTAATTAACTAACCATTGCTGTAATGGTAAAAAAATTGTCAAATTTTCCATAATAATGTATTGAGACCACCTTCTGAAAATTACACAGGGCAGCATTACGGGGAGACAACCATTCTGGGGCAGGACTTGCTGCCTTTGCTTCTGCCATGATTGAGCGTCTAGTAGGCAGCTGGAACTTAGGGGAGGGCTCAGTAATCGAATTTGAGCTAGCCATTGCTATAATCAGAGATTAAGGCACTCCATAACAAGTGTTCTTATATTGAGGTTTTGATCGAGAAAGTGCAGTGAAGGACAAATGCCATGGCGAATCTTTTTTTTGTCACCTAGTTCTGGATGTTATATCTGACGGAATTATATGCGCCATAATTTTACCATTTCATCTTGTGGAAGCCGGACTGGTTTATTGATTGACGTAGAGATTTTGGATGTCATGCCATATAGGCGTATACATTAGGGAATAATCCTACGGTGTACAAGGTTTTTACTTGATCCTAACGGGGAATCATTTTGTTTCTTGAGGGAAGTGTGTAGTGGTGACAACCCAAAATAATCATATTTGAAGAATCGTTTATATCCTTATAGGTCGGCAACTCGAGAAGTTGAAGGGGCGATCCTATACTTGGTTTATTTATTTATTTGTTTATTATAATATCCATGCTGATAATTTAGTTGAACACATGAATTGGTCAATGATAGTTTAATGAAATAATTTTACCAATAGAGCTGATACTCGCAGCGAATTCAGAAATCGATGCTTTTATATTGCTCCAGTAGTAAAAATGATTTTCCTCTTTTCTAAAATAACTGTGCTCCAAAATGTTTTTATATTGATGTTTCGAAATTTACTATGCTCCGGTGTTTGTTCAGCTAAAGGATGACCATATATATTCATATATTTTTTTCAGAATTTATAAAATTAAGAGTGTTGTTTATTTTTTATCAAATCATATTTATTCGAGATTTTACATAACTAAATCTAAAAATTATTAATTTGATGTCTTATTAGACTCATAAATAATTAGACTCGATTTATACTTAAGTCTAACAATATTAAGTCTAACATCTTGTTATTTAAACTTAATATATAACTAAATTTAAAAATAATTACTTTGTAAATAAGTCAAATCTAAGTTGTATGGTTTAACATACAATTGAGTCGATATATATTGAGTTAGTAACCTATCTTTAACCTTTTTTGCTATGAATTTCTTCAGCAAACGGATGGTTTATAAAAAAAATTATTTATCCATCTAATATAGTTTGTTCTTGTAAACTAGTTATCAAATTATTCCATTTTCTGTCACTTTTCACTTGAGTTTCAAAAAATAATATACCTCGAGGATCATTGATGACCAGGGCATTTATTGCAGAGGTGCTGCATTTGTGCCGTCCAAAAAAAGATAAATCACAAGGGGGCAATCAAAAGAATATTAGTAAAAATACTACACACACACACAGAGTCATGTCATCAGAACTGCCTTGCAATTTTTAATGTGTAATGTTCTAAATTATTAACAAGAACAACCAGATCTAGGTTTTTTGACTTGGCAAGAGTCACTCTTTTTAACACATGCTGACAACCAGATGTTCGCAATGGAATCGTTGCCTTCTTCGCAAGTCGGCATGGATATGTCGTGACAAAAGGCATTACTCGTGTCCCGTTATGAGATTTTCTGCAAAATTTTGGAGACGTCAGTTTTTTTCCCCCCTCAAATTTTCTCCACAGTGCCCCAAAATAATTGAATCTGCCAAAGAAGATCTGAAATAATGAAAAAGGGAACAAACGAATAGGTCCCTTGCACAATTCTACTTCCTAAATTTGTGCCAATCCTCAACATTGAAGCATTTCTGGGATCTTGGATGTTAGATTCCTCGAATAATGAAAGTAAAGAGCAATGTCCCATGACAATTATTGTTGATAGGCCATCGTATGCACACGATGAGTAATAAAATCTCACGCTAGAATACTAAAAGATTACGAGTGTCTTCGAAACCTTGAATCTATGCGTTGTTCTTAGTGGGAGGTAGACTTAGCTTTATTTTTTACATCTTTAATAATTTATAGTGCATACTTTTGGGTTCTCTTCTGGTGCCATTCTAAGAAGCGGACGAATCAGAATCATGGGGTGCTAAGACTAGAAATCGTGGCTTTTTCTAGCTGGTAAAGCTTACAGATAGTGCATGATTTATTGAGATTTCAGTCTATTTTAAGTGTTTCTTTTCTGCCAAGAAAGCATCGAAATTTCTGCATTTTTAAGACAGAACAAAAGCATTGGATTCTATTTAGGACCTCTAAATAAATCAACCCTGTTTTTATACCAAGAATAAAGTGCAAATGATTTGAGAATCACCGTGAATTAAAATGGTCTGCGATTGGAATGAAGCAGGTATTCCCCACTGGACTAGCTATAAAGCCAATATTGTGGTAATTTTGCATAAAAAGAAAGGGCCTTGTGGAGTATGTCGAGTCATTTTACTAAATCAATGCAACTTGACTTTTCAAAGCCAAGCACGAGATAATCTAATAAATGAAGTAGATGAACTGTGCCACTAATGATTCATTCTCTCACCTAATTGAGACTTCACTTAGTGCAAATATACTTTGTTTTGGATCATAATCAAGGTAATTTTGTACTTAGAGATCAAAATAAAATCATGCATACTAAAAATATATTAAAACTAGAAATAAACATCGAAACAAAATTCCAACATACATATTAAGTATTTAATTGAATATTATACTTAAACTAAAAACATTATAAGTTAAAGCGCTTAGAATCAAATTTAGCTAAAAATTAATTTATTGTTAGTTGTTATTAATTATTAATCATTTGTTTGTTGTTATGTAATGAGTTGTTACTCAGGGTTCATAATATCTTCCTTTTAATTTTTTTATAATAATTTTTTATTCATCCATAATTTATTTTAATTATATTAATATTTTATAGTAACAAATATTTATCAAGGAATAATTTTTAATAAATTAAATAGTAACTTAAAAATAAATCACATTTGATTTATTTTCAAATGTGTTCATTACTGATATTTCCAAAACAAATTTCTTACAAAAACACCATCTTCTGGTTTCTTTACAGATATATAATTGGGACAGAACTTGCCCCTGCAGTCCTGTCTCACACCCGATAATAATGGATCTTAGAGGGTAATAGACCTTGAACTAGCACCATAATGAAGCTAGGGGTTGACACCTGTGTTAGTGAATGTATTACATGGCATGTGGAAGAGGAAGGAAAGCCTTTCTGTTTCTTTTCTTTTAAAGAGAGAAGGGAGATAAAAAACAAAACAGTCAGTTACATCTGAAAGGACTGAGTTCGAGTGAAATATTCATTGTGCATTACTGGAAGGTTGTATCAGTCTGCTCTTTTTTATATTTAGTGAAAACCCTAGCTGCTCTTGTCTAGGTAAAAAATAATATATATATTATAGAGGTGATCGACATCAAAATTGTCAAACGTTACATGAAACGTAGGACCAAGGAATCAAATCACTGTTTTGGGGTTTGTAATCATCATATTTTTTTCAAAATTCTGGTTGAGTGATCCACATCAAGTTCCTCCTATTTGCAAGCATATGTTCGTCACACACCTTTGAATTTATAGTCTATTTACGCGTGCTAGTTATGGCAAAGTCAGATTTTAGACCAAGCAAATCATCATCTATTTTATCCACCTTTTCGCAGTTGGTGGCTTAAATTATTTAATTGCTTCCCATATTATCAATCATAATCCAAATAGAAAGGGAGACATGTAATTAAGCCATTAAAAGTTAAATTAAAAATAAAAACAATTATCATGGTTGCTGTTAAATATCGAGCACTCTGTATCACCAGACTCTTTCTGATAGTTTTTATTTTCTTCCAAAACAGATGTTGCTATTTCTTAAAGTAGCTTAATTAGGAGATAATAAATTAAATGGGAACCTCTTCCCAAAAAACAATTAAATGGGAACGGGATGGTTGAAACGTGACTTTTTTCATGAATTACCAATTAACCCCTCTCTCTTTGCACGAAGAGACCTATTAAATTAGGCAGTCAACCGTTTTTATCCTACTATTTTTCTTTTCCGTTAAAATAAAAATTTAATTGCAAGGTTTTCTCTTCTCTTCTTCTTTTTTTTTTCTTTTTTTATAGGAAAAGTATTTTCCTTTAATGGACGGAGTATCTTACAAGCCAGGGATGGGTAGAAAAAGACAATTTAATGAACTAACAGTCCAATAGAAAGTAGACAGAATGTAAAATAAAGATTGTCATTGTCCTGAGTTGCAAATATAGAAGCTTTTCAAGGCATTGATTACCATCTATAAACCAGACATCCTCAAGTCAATGAAAGTTTGCCTGGTCATGGTCAACAAAAACACACATGATGTATTAACAAATATACTAGAGAACAAAACCCAGATTTTTTTTCCTGCTAATTCACTTTCACAGTGAAATAACTCCATCTCCATTTTTTTCATCCTATTTTTCTTTTAATTCCATTGAGAATACTTTTTTTCTTTTTAATTTAATCTCTTTGTGCCCTAATGGCATGAGAAGATAATTTAAAGTAAGAGGATCACAACATAAAATAAAACGAAAATACATAGGCAATATTAAATTTTTTTAGAATTTTTATTTTGGTTTAATTTTTTTTAATCCCTTATTTGAAAAAGAAAAGAAAAACTCATAAAAAAAACCTTTTTATTAATTGTTTCTATTTAAATATTAATTATTTTACATTTTTCTAGTTTCATGATACTTCAGAAATGTTAGTTTGATTTGTATCTAATTGTTTTCTCTTATATTTTATATGAAATAATTGTATTTGCAATGCAAACAACATATTTTTGTGAAAACATGTTCATAATGTAATTATTTTTTTCATGTTAGAAATTAACTTGAAATTATATTTGCAATGTAAACAACATATTTCTGTTTTTAAATTAAAAAAATCATAATATTTTAAAATACATCCATTACATTAATATATATTTTTTATTATATTGTAAATTAACTTGAAATTTTATGAGCGGGAAAGTACAGGTAACACTGGACAATCATGAAATGCAATCCAAGTCCACAGTCTTAGCCATGAGCGATGGTATTTGCTTGCTTGTCAATTTATGATCGGCAAGGACAAATAACATAGAGATTTTTCACAATTATTCTCAGAAATTACATGTTAACAGCTACCACGCTCATCATACTCAACAATTGACAAACACAGAAAAGATTTAACAAACTAATCTACCTTCTATAAATCCTAATACACTAAAACTTAACCGAATACAGCTGCCAACAATTGATGGATTTAAATGTCAAATTACAGAATTTTAGACTAACATGAAGAAATCATGATATTGGCGATCATCTTGTCAACACAGCCACCATATCAATCTGCAAATGTAATTATATGACAAGAAAAAAAAAAATGTTAAATAACATATGACATTCATATTTACTACATTATTTAAAAAATAAATAACATCATTCATAAGAAAACAAGACGTACCTCCCGATCTAAACAGGTTTATTCACTCATACATTCTCTGTATCCATTTAAGCTTCTTTTGAAGATCTCCCATACTTGCTCACATTTCTCTCTTCCTTTTTAAACTCAAATACTCAGTAGTAATGGCATGAAATTCATCTCCTATGGTAACTTCTTCAATGAAGTGAAGCTCTGCCATAACCTCAAGAATATGACACCGTTTCCTATCCATGCTAAAAGATGTTGAATCACGTTTGGTGGACATGCTGTCAACTAGTTGATCCCAACATGACAGCAGCTGTAATCCGATTTTATAAGGCTTTTTTCCCATCTTAAACCTCAAAATATTATTTTTTATTTTCTCTTGTGTTACTTTTGCTGGACATTTTAACCACGCCAATTATTTTACAAATATCATCCATAAAATTTGAAATGCCATCCTTCTCAGAATCACCGTTTTCTTCCAAATTAGGCTCATCAACATTGGCATTGTGGTTGCTATCATCACCAGCATCATCATCACACAAGACTTTGAAAGATGGTGCCCACACGTAATGTCTAGTAGCAACGATGGTTGAGAAAACTTAAACCATAAAGATGGTTCGGTACCAGCCTGCCTAGATATTTTTTCTTCTCTTATTTCCTACATAAAACAAATACAATTAATTAATATGAATTTAAATAATTTAGGAATTACTAAAATAATATAAATAGAAATTAAAGATTAAGGATCATGGAAAATAACCTGAATTTTTGTTTTCCATCACTAATCACTTATAGAGATAGTTGCTCCAACCAACACTAGTTTCAGAAATCAGCTCTGTCCACATCCTCCAATCCTTCTTGTAGCCATCTCATTTGTTTTGCAGTTGTGACTTGGTGAATATAAGGCTAATTTGTTCTTTGAAGGATGTCAATAGAGATTTCCTACCAGCTTTATTGAAATGAGTATTTGGTCTCATTACCATGTCGATGGTCTTGATGTAAATATCACAAACAATATGCAACATTTCCTTAGTCCAAGTAACTTTATCCATAATTTAAGGACCTATTATTCCTAGTTCAATAACATATTTGAAAGCAAACAACCAATGTCATTTTGTATAGACAATAATTTAAGCATTAGCTGTAAGATTAAACACTAACACCAAATAATAACATTAACTAAGTAAGAACTGCAGGTCATAAAATATTCCTTTGTTATGGAACCGAGCCCTTTCCTTCTTAAAAAGAACAAAACAACAACACAACATGCAAAAGCTGTATAAGATAAACCAGTGACTGTATAATTCTACAGTTTCATTAATGAGCAATGACTAATTCGAAAACCCCCTAGTGAGTTGATGATTTCTTAGTTTTATTAATCCATGATTATGACATGTCTGGCTCCTCACTAGTCACAAGTCAACAAAGACAGCCAAAATTAAAGGAGCAATCATCTCTAGTAGCTGCAACAAAGTTTAACGAATGGTGAGCCTGAATTACCTTAGTTATTATCATATTTTGTTGGGGGCCAACACTCATAAATAAGAGCTTCAAAAGCAGATGATATCCAATAATGCACAAGCATATTCAAACTGATCCCTTCTTGTTCTTGCTTTAGTTTTCCTTGTATGACAAACATGTAAGCAATTTAAATATCAAATTTGTTTCTTTCAGACCCGATCTCTTAGCCATTAATTACAAGTAATGAAACATAAGTTCACTAACCACAATATGCAGTGATGGGCAGGGACTAAAAAAGTTCAAAATCCATTCGAAATGTGGGACAATGAGCTCATGTTAAACCCATTTATTGTCCTACACACTCACGGGGTAGGTCCAGGACACCAGAACATTAAAACTAGAGGTCTACAGTGAGTATGGAAATAGAGTATGTTGCCTGAACCCCTATCACTTATCAATGTTCTTACTTTGAATCTTAGCATGGAGAAAATGAAATAAAATTCTGGTTTTTGATTGGATGAAAAATACAATTCTATAAATGAAACAAGTTTGAACATTAGCTTGTTGCAATGATTGATATGTTAAAGATTTAGCCTAAAATATAATGTAAATAACTCAATCAACAACACCCTAAGTTTCGATTTTGTGTAATTAAAATAGATATTCAGTTAAAGATCTGTAAAGAAGCAACTACATTACCTGCTTCACAACACCTTCTCTGTTTGTTCTTTGTAGTTTTCGGGTCATTCTTGTTATTGAGCCTCCACAAACAACACAAATCTGCAGATAGCTTTTGCAACAATATACATGCAAATATCAGACACAAGCATGCTTCTAGTTAATTTTTTATTTTTATTTTGCAATGACAGAACAAGGAGGTGCCAAATCTAGGTTTTAATTTTGAAGACAACGAAGGAAAAAAATGGTCTCAGTGTAGAAGCTACAAAAAATACTGATTCAAAACACTTTTTTCCACACTCAAATAGATCTCATAGATCATTACCTTACAGAAAAGAATCGGGCAGGTTCAATTTTGGACAAGTAATAGTTTTTTAAAAGAGAGAAAAAATGAAAGAAGATTAATTTTGAGAGGAGAGGAGAGGATCGAAGAAGACAAGCGACGAGTGACTACTAGAGAGAAGATGGATTGGCAAATGCCCAGTCGAAAACCATTGCAGGGTAAAGGGTGGCATGATATAAGGATGAGGGTTATCTTGGAAAGTTGGTTTTGCAACAGTTATTTCCTCTCTCTTCTGATCGTATCTGTTGTCGATGGAGAGAAAAAAAAAATTGCGGTATGCGGTAACAACACCCTAAAAGCTGGTTTTAATAGGGTTTTTTTTTATATGAATGTAATAGTAATTATTTTTTATTTAAAAATATATTTAAATAATATTTTTTATTTTTAAAAATTATTTTTAATATCAATATATTAAAATAATAAAAAAATTAAATTCAAACTAAAACAATAAATTTTTAATACTGTGTTCACAGTATAAAACTAAAGTTCAACTTTAATTTTTAATGGGTCCGGCTTTAAGAAAACACTGGTTTAATATTAACTAAATATAAATTATTTAAATTTTTTTAAAATTTATTTGTTATCACACTTTTAAATACTATTTAAATTAAACTGAGAAGCAATGGTGAATCGCGATTTTGGCCCCGCTTAAGTGTGTGGAATTAGAACCTGATGCGTGTTGGATTAAAAAATAAATAAATTGAAGTTGACCGCATTAAAATTGAACAATTTAACAAGTTGATATAAACAAAATCTAATTTGATTTTTGTTTTAAAAAAAGAAGAGAATTAGGTTTAATTGATGGAATAAATTTGAATTAACTTACTAACATGTGATGTAACCTGAACATTGAATCAGGTTCTGGCAGACGAGTTTAATAACTTATCCCCTGCTGGTAATAATTTCGATCCCAAGACAAAGAAAAGGGAGAATAAATGTTTTGGTCGACGAGTAATTTTGGGCAGGGGTGGCGGTGTACACGTGTGACTGTTATTTGATGGTTAATTTTTGTGTTTTAAAAGTATTTAAAAAAATTTAATTTTTTTATTTATTTTAAATTAATATATTTTTAATATTTTTAAATTATTTTAATATATTAATACCTAAAATAATGTTTAAAAACTAAAAAAATAACATAAATATATATTTTAATATAAAAAATTATTTAAAAACAACCGCACTCAGTACAAAACCGAGAAGGAAACAAAGACAAAACAGTCGAAACAGCGCAAAGTCAACAAGAAAGAAGTCTCTGATATATACCAAGCCTTTTGCTTTTCTTTATTGTACTCTTATTTTCTCTCTCTCTGGCATTGCAAAAGGACTCTCCTAAAGCGGTCAGAAGATCATCGTATAGGCATCCTTCGATTCTTTCCCCTTCTCTCACAATCTTCTTTTTTGTTAATTATACAAATAAATTCCTTTTTTTTTCTCTAGAAAAAGATATTGGGATTGTTCTCTCATCTTGCCTTTTTTTCCTTTTTCTTTCGTTCTTAAGCATCTTTGTTTTTTTTATTCAATTGCTTGTGCATACTAATAGGTAATACAAACAAGAACCAGCCTTTCCTCACGAAACAATAACCACAAGGAAACTAAACCCATTTTGAGCTGTTAATTGGATAGTTCAGAGGTAATTCTTTCATACCCAGTCCTTGTTTTGACTTGTTTTTATGAAGGGGTTTTATTTTTTTGTGTCTTTTTATAAGGTTTTTATGTGTTTGTTCTATTTATATGATCAGGTTTGGAATTCGATGGTGCAGATACTGGATTTGGGGAGGTGGAATCTTGAATATTGAAAGCGGATGGTGGTAATTTAATTGAACAAGTTGGAGGCGGTGTGCATAGTCCTGTTTCTATGGATATGTTTTGCTGTTTTAGTCCTTCCTACTCTCAGGTAAAAGCTATTATTTCTTTCTTGGTTTTTGTTATTTTCTGTATGTGTATGTGATTTTCAACCTTAATTCATAATTAGGCTGTAAGATTGGAAGTGGAACATGGGGCCAAACGTGTGATAAGCTATTTCTAAGTGGGAATTTTGCATTTTTCGTATAATTTTGGGATTTAATTTTGAATATACATTAAATAACTCATGGCTGAAAATTTGTTGGTCTCATAGAACCGATACTTCATGTTTTCGTTCTGTCAATGTTTACCTACTTGTTTCATGAGTTTTTCGAGGATCTAGAATTTACTCTGTAGGTGTAGAATACACACTAACTGTTCCAAAAAAGATGTTTTACTAACGGGCTTGCAGTATCAAGGTCTTCTATGCAATCCCAAAAGAAAACGCAGTTCCAAGTTTTGCCATTGTTTCTCATTAATATTATCTAGCATCCTTCAACAGCTCAATTGCTTGCAGTGGAGAAATACATTTTACACGTATTATTTCATTTAGTGCCGTCCCTGAGTGCTATCTTACCTGAGCTCTTTAGTGAACTAGAACTCATTTGTGCTTGCTTTCATAGGCTGAGATTGTTGTTACCTGTAGCTTGTAGGTGGGCGATCGTCATCTAGCTCTGGTAAGGGAAAAAATCATGAGGGTTTGATCAAGTATGGTTTCAGCCTAGTAAAAGGGAAAGCTAATCATCCAATGGAGGATTATCATGTTGCCAAGTTTGTGCAGATTCAAGGACATGAATTAGGGCTTTTTGCTATTTATGATGGTCATTTGGGAGACAGTGTGCCTGCATACCTACAGAAGCATTTGTTTTCCAATATTCTAAAGGAGGTTTGGCTTTACTTCAAACCATTTTATCTGTAGCCTAACGTTTTGGTCTGCTTTACAAATAGCATTGGAATGCTTATTCTTTATCTGATCACTCTAGGAAGAGTTTTGGGTTGACCCCAACAGATCTATCTCAAAAGCCTATGAGAGGACGGACCAGACAATTCTCTCTAATAGTTCTGACTTGGGGCGAGGAGGTTCTACAGCTGTGACTGCAATCTTGATAAATGGTAAAAGACTATGGGTAGCTAATGTTGGAGATTCAAGAGCAGTTCTTTCAAGAGGGGAGCAAGCAAGACAAATGACCACAGATCATGAACCCAACACTGAACGAGGCAGCATAGAGAACAAAGGTGGCTTTGTCTCAAACATGCCAGGTCTTTTCCACAGAAGCCATTATTAGTAATCTCTCTGTTTGAATAACTGCTCTTCTGAATTTAATAGACACTAATGGTATTCTGAGGAAATTTTTGGCTAGTCAGTATCTTCTAATATTTTCACTGGGGAGCGCCTTCTAATATTTTAATGGCTTTATAGTTTTTCTGTTTATGATTTTTGCATGTTAATCTATAATTTCAAAGAATTAGGCAAAAATTTTATTTCTTTTAGATGCTCATTTTTCACCATTTTGAAATTCTCAAGCAATTGAACCAGCATCATCCAAACCCAAACAAGACTTCAGGGTGATGAATTATCTAATTAGGTTGAATTAATGCAGCATTCAGACTGTAATAGACAGTTTAGAGTTCACTGGCTGCCACTTAACTTTGATCTGCATGAAAGTAATCTTTGAAAATAAAAATAGGTATGCTCAAGAAGAGAGGAGCTGCGGTGCCCCCCTGATCGCCTGGGGATTCATCTTGGATGAGTATTCACACACATATTTTTACATCATTGAAAAAACCTTTCCGTAAGAAATTTAGTTTTACTTATCATGCAGTGTTCTGCAGGTGAGGTGGTGTTGAAGCTTTCATGCTTATTGTTCAAATTGTTTTGCTTTTGGGTGTTCAAATCCTTTCTACACTTAAGAGCTACCGAATGCTTCCTTCTATTATCCTATTTTCTGTAATTTCCTACTATCTTAAGGATTACATGACCAAAGTCTTTTAAGGCACTTTGATACCTTGGACATTAAGTGACTGGTTAATGATTTCTGTTTCTATTGAGAATAACTAACACCTTCAGAACATAAATTATTTCCCTCACTTTCGTAATTTTTTTCTCTACAACCAAACAGTCCATTCTATACCAAAAACAGATACAGTGACCATCTGCATCCAACAGACATATTCAAATTTCAAATTCAGTTAAAGATGTGAAAAGGATGTAGTTGCTTTTGAGATGAAAATAAACTTTTTATTCAATTAGAAAAATGGTGCAAGTACAAAAAGTTATGTTTACTCCCAATTTTTTAACTCAATTTGATGAAGAGATTTATTTTTTTCCCCCTCCAAATATGAGACATTCATGATCCTTTGGTTAATTTGAGCCAGTGTATGAAAATGATCTAACTATGAGGTGTAGTTTGCTTTCTTCCCCTGTAGTTTGCATGTAACCAACTGCAATGCCAGACCACCTCGTAGCTGCTTGTATGGATGAGCTGGAAGTGGCTTGGCGGTTTTCATGTTATCTTTCAAATATTGACTGCTTATTCTATTTCTGGAATCATGGTTGCGCAGTTTTACTGTTGCTTCAACTGAACAAGGATGATCATGGGTTTGGGGATAATACTTGCAAGTTACAGTACTGTTGATCTAGCTTCCATTTTGAACTTATTTCCAGGAGATGTTCCTAGAGTTAATGGACAGCTGGCAGTTTCTCGTGCTTTTGGAGACAAGAGCCTTAAATCACATCTGCGATCTGATCCTGACATACAAGAAACAGACATAGATAACAATACTGAAGTTCTTGTACTTGCAAGCGATGGTCTTTGGAAGGTGAATCATTTCATATTAACTTCATTTTCCATGTTGAGTCAGTGCTAACTACCTGTACTGGCTAAAGAATTTGCAATGTGCTTGTATGAGAAAGAAATCCATCAAATCTCACCCTTTTCCCATGTGAATACACAGGTTATGTCAAATCAAGAGGCTGTTGATATTGCAAGGAGGATCAAAGACCCACTGAAAGCAGCTAAGCAGCTAACAGCAGAGGCATTAAAAAGAGAAAGTAAAGATGACATATCTTGTGTTGTTGTTAGATTTAGGGGGTAGAAATCTTTGAAACAAATCATTGTTATCCAGGTGCCAGAATATACCTATTATAAGAAGAGTTTCTTTACACCGGTTACCAGTGTGTGGATCAGACAAATGGATAATACATACTTGGCTGGGATGCTCCGCAGGGTCTCCAGTGGTTCGGAATTTGCTGAAGAAAAGAGAAGATTAGAAAGGACCCCCCATTGTAAAATTATTTTATTGATTAGGTTCTGGTGTTTGATATTGTTTGATTTCCTTGTGGAAGTGGTTTAGAACATCTGGTGTATATTGTCTTCTATTCTATGCCCAGAAA